GTCATTGTTGTTTGGCGGGCCCGGGCTGGATTCAAACCCACCACCTTGGGTGTACGTGGCTGGAGCCTTAGCCACTTGAGCCACAGGCACCGAGCCATTATTATTTTTTGAAACAGAGCCTCAAGCTGTCACCCTGGGTAGAGTGCCGTGACATCACAGCTCTTGGCATCACAGCTTACAGCAACCTCCAACTCCTGGGCTTAAGCGAGTCTCCTACCTCAGCCTCCCAAGTTGCTGGGACCACAGGCGCCCGCTACAACGCCCGACTATTTTTTGGTTGCAGCCATCATTGTTGTTTGGCGGGCCCAGCTGGATTTGAACCTGCCACCTTCGGTGTATGTGGCTGGCGCCTTAGCCACTTGAGCCACAGGTGCTGAGCCAGTTTTTTTATTTTTAGTAGAGACAAAGTCTTGCTTTTGCTGAGGCTGATCTCAAGCTCCTGACTCAAGCAATCCCCTGGCCTCGGCCTCCCAGAGTGCTAGGTGTGAGACACCTGTCTGCTCAGGCTCTTTTACTCCTGCCTTCCATTGTGAGAAAGACATATCCCCAGTGCTAGGCACACAGTATGAACTAGCACTCGTTAGACACTTATTGTGTACCAGACACTGTTGCATGTATTATATGTGTCTGCATGTGTTAATTCCTTTCATCCTCACAGAAACCCTAAGTCATAGGCTCTCTTACCATTTTCCTTATTTGATTTTATTTATTTATTTTTTGAGACAGAGTCTCACTATACCACCCTCAATAGAATGCTATGGCATCACAGCTCACAGCAACCTCAAACACTTGGGCTTAAGCAATTCTCTTGCCTCAGCCTCCCAAGTAGCTGGGACTACAGATGCCCACCACAATGCCCGGCTATTATTTTGTTGCAGTTGTCATTGTTGTTTAGCTGGCCTGGTCTGGATTCGAACCAGCCAGCCTTGCTGTATGTGGCTGGTGCTGTGCTATGGGTACAGAGCTACCATTTTCCTTATTTTTTTTTTTTTCTATTTTTGGCCGGGGCTAGGTTTGAACCCGCCCCTCCAGCATAAGGGGCCAGCACCTTACCCTTTTGAACCACAGGCGCTGCCCACCACCATTTTCCTTCTTTTACATATATAGAAAACTAAAGATCAGTGAGGATGAGTTTGCACTGCAGGGAAGGGGCAGACAGTCTGCTTTCTAGGTCTATATTCTTTTTTTTTGAGACAGAGACTCAAGCCGTCCCCCTGGGTAGAGTGCCGTGGCATAGCTCACAGCAACCTCCAACTCCTGGGCTCAAGCGAGTCTCCTGCCTCTGCCTCCCAAGTTGCTGGGACCACAGGTTCCCGCCACAACGCCAAGCCATTTTTTTTTTTCTGTTGCAGCCATCATGGTTGTCTGGCGGGCCAGGCTGGATTCGAACCCACCACCTTTAGGTGTATGTGGCTGGCACCCTAGCCACTTGAGCCACAGGCGCTGAGCCTAGGTCTGTATTCTAAACCATTGTCCTATGCTGCTTAGTAGGTAGGTGATCACCAAATGCCTGTTAAGTAAAAGTTTGTTTAAATGATTGCCAGTATTGATAGCCTGTCTTCCTTCCATTTACCTACATACAGAAGGTACAAACTACTGAGACAAAGGTAAGCTTCTTACTTTGGACCTGAGTACTCTTCCTACCTTAGTTGTTTGCAATATAGAAGGCAATTCTCCTGATTGGGAAAAAGTCTGTGATCATCAGATGGAACCCCAACATTTCCCCTATAGGACCCACACGAGCCACAGGATATCTCCTGTAAATTCCATATGGATACCTGACATCTTTCCCCCAGACTTCATTGTGGACCTCCAGTCCCTCTCCTAAAGGGCCATGTGAACCCCTGTATGTTTCCTGAACCCACATGGATCCCCAACATTTTTCCTATACCAGCCATGCTTGACAATCCCCAGTGGTTCCCATCTGTCATCTCATTGGCTCCTCATTCGCAGCTCTGTAAATTAGTCTAGGCTTGCATTATAGCAGGGACAGAAAGCAGTGACCACGAGGAACAGGACCAACAGAAAACCTGCTTGGTCATCCTGCCCTGTAGCCCAGGACTCTTCCTTCCTGGTTGGCCTGGGGCCTGGATTATGCTTCCTGTTCAGCCCTTCCCAGGCCCTAAGATTCCCTCCCTCTTCTTCCCTCCCCCTTATTAGTTCTTGCCTGCCTTTCTTCATTTCCACCCTCTTTTCATCCCAGCTGTGGGAGTGAGGCCCCACTTCTGGCAGGCTAGAGCCAGACAAAGGGCCCTTATTCTCTGCAAAGAATCCCTGCAGTGTCTCCCACCCACTAAGCCCCCCTTCCAGGCTCAGGATGGTGTAAGTGGGGGTAGGGGGATCCTCTGGTGAGAAGGAGCAATTGGCTGGCAGGACAGAGAGTAGCCTTGGCTGTAGGCAGACCCCACAGGAGGTTTACTATGTAAACATCGCTCACAATAAAAGCCCGTTTTCACTCCCAGCCCCATCTCTCTAAGTAGGTCTCCCGAAACTCTCCAAAGTTTTGTGTTTTTTTAAAAGATTACTATATTTTAACGTTTTTCTTCATCTTTTTGTTTGGTTTTTGATACAGAGTTTCACTTTGTCACCCCTGATGGAGGGCCATGGCGTCATAGCTCACAGCAACCTCAGACTCCCAGGCTCAAGTGATTCTCTTGCCTCAGCGTCCCTAGTAGCTGGGATTACAGGCGCCCGCCACAAATACCTGCTATTTTTAGAGACGGAGTCTCAATAAGGTTCAGGTTGGTCTTGAATCTGTGAGCTCAATTCATCCGCCTCCGCCTCCCAGAGTGCTAGGATTACTGGCACGAGCCACCGCACCTGGCCACTCTTTCCTGGTCTTGATCTCCGCATGTTTCAGTATCTCTATCCCTCCATGTTTCTATGTCTCTATGTTTGTGGCCTTTATCTCTTGTCTATGTCTTTCATTACGTGTATATGTGTGTCCATATCTTTCTATGTGTGTTTCATTTATGATCTTCTGTCCTCTGTCACTTTGAGCCTGTGGATCTGAATGGCTTCCACCCGTCTCCACACTCCCCTACTCTCAAAGCTCTTTTTCAGTCTTCCTTTCTGCTCCGACCCAGAGGCTCCTGGGATGGGCATGGGAGGTTTTTCTCCCCAGTTTACAGATTTGAAAGCTGAGGCTCTGGCTGCTAGTACCAGGCTCCAATCTCCGGTCTCTTCCTTCCACATTCTGGCCTTGCTCTTGTCCCTGAGGTGCCTGTTAACCAATGGCCGGGGCCCGGGAACTAGCACCTCGGACAGCTCAGAAGGTGCGGAGGCCGGCAAGTCTTCCATTCTCGCGAGTTCAGCAGGCGCGGCCCTCGGAGTGGCGTGTGAGTCTCGCGATAGTGGCTGCTGCAGGCCGTGGAGGCGCGGGCGCGCGTGGAGCCGGCTCCAGGCGCGCGCGCGCTCCCCGCCCCCAGCCCCGGAGCGGCTCGCGGCGGGCTCCGCGCGGCATCGCCCGGTGCAGCTCAGCGCAGCGCCACGGACTTTAGGCAGCTGAACGGCAGCGGCAGGTGAGTCCGGCCTGGAGGCTGGGAGAACAGCTTTGCAGGGAAGCTGGACACGGGCGAGGAGGGTGGTGGTCTAGCTTTGTACCCTCAACGCTTCACCTTTGGATGCAGCAGCAGGCCCAGATGCTGAGAGGTGGGGAGTCGAGGTGACCTTTCCTATTTAAGGTAGGGGAAAGAGCACACCAAGCTCCTCGACTCCTCCTGTCCCCATCTTCGGCTCCTGCAGAGGGAACAGGGCTTTCGGTGACGTCAGACCCCTGGATTCTGGAGCTTGAGCCTTGGGCCCTTCATCCCCCCTAAGCCTACTTGGCATTCCTTGGAAACAGGTTTCTTCTCCTGGGTATGGCGCGCGGCTGGGGATGGGGGCGAATGGAAGCGGGCAATTGTGGCCTCCTTTGGGTCCTTGCAACAGGCGCCTGCAGGTAGACAAGGGTGATGCCTCCCTCTGCTCTGTGGGGCGGCTGACCTTAGGACTGCGGGTCTGAGCCGCCCCAGGGTTGCTGGGGGATGGGTGCACTGGCTTAGGGCCGGACTTCCCCTGGGCGTTTGGTGGTGAGTTGGGGGTGCTTATTCCAATGCTAGTAGGAGTTGGTCACGAGGATGGAGGTGAAGTGTTTGGGAACCGATCCCTGTCTCCATTTCCGGGAGCTCCTGTTTTAGGGGCTTGGGGATCCAAGTAGAGACTCGGCCTGTGAATTCGCCATCACAGGCGAATTACCGGTTTAAACCGGTAATGTCCCAGCTTCCTGCTGGGGAGATCAACGAGGTCCTGGCAGATTTTCCCACGGACACAGGGAGAAAGGGAGGCAAGAGCTAGCGAATAGGAGACTTTCTGGAGGTGGTAAGATTTGAATGGATGGAGAGTCAAGAGGGCATTCCAGGGGAATGGTATGGGCAAAGGCAGAGGCATAGCCATGGAATTAATAACAGCTGTTGGGGGCAGGGAGGGAGGCCCCGCCTGTGAGCTCAGCCTTGTGACTGTGCCTGTGGGGTGGGGTCTGGAGTCTGGAGAATTTTGCAAACTGCCCTACCTGTTCCGTGTTGTGGAGCAGGGCTCTGAAAGGAGAAAGGCCCAGGACTGGCAGAGAGATTTTGAGGGCCTACAGATGTCTTCCTCATTTAGGTTTGATCTGGGCTTGGTGAGCTTTAGGACAAAGTCTTCAGAGAGGACTAGCTCTAGTGAATGGACCACCCCAGTGTGGTCCTGGAAGGGGATCTCTGGATAGGGACCTTGGGCTCTCTGGCTGTTTCTTTAACCCTTTCCCTGGCTGGCCACCTTTGAACAAGTTGAATCCCTTCTCTGGGCATCTCTTTGCCAGCACCCTTCTGTAGGGATGATATAATAGGACTAAGTGGTGACCTCTTTTGAGGAAGTTCCTTGTTCTAGTTTAGAATGTTCCTCCCAGTTTTTCTCCCTCTTCCTTTTCCCTTCCTCTTTGCTCCCTCTGCCTCTCTCTCCCTGTCCTCTCCCCTCCCCACAGCATTTCCTCTGCAGGCTGTACTTCCTTCCCTCCTTCCAGCCTTGGAGTCTCCAAAGGTTTCCTGGAGGAAGTGCTGGAGGAAGTGCGATGCAGCAGAATTGACAGAAGCTGTGCACTTAGCCTGATTGGGGGAGGCATCAGTTGCCTCACTCCTACCCTTTGGGAGAGTGTCCAAGTCTTAAGCAAGTATATGGATTAATTATGCTCTGTGCCTGGTCTCTCCTGGAAATTCTGTCTGTGGGGGAGTGAGAAAGAGATTAGATGAGAATGAGTGAGCACTTAGCACCCAATGACTGGTTCAGAATCTACGCGGTGGGATGCACAGAAGTGTTGTCTGGAAAGACATCCCAGAAGAGGTGGGATGTGAGAAACCAGTAGGATTTAGAGGAGCCAACGGTGCTGCCAGTTTAGGCTCACTGGAAGCAGAGGGGTTGGCTAGACATAATCTCCTGCATGAAGCTGGATGTGTAGGAAGCAGGTCAGCCTGTGGTAGAGAAGCAAAGGGTGGTAGGGAGGGAGGTTTGTATCAGCACAAAGCCTTGAATGCTAGGCACAGGATCTGTAGGAGGCTACTAAAGAGTCATCAGCAAGACAGTGATAGCAGGGCCAGGAAACTGCTGTCTTCTGAGGATGATTCATAGTTCTGGAATTTCAGGACTGGAGATGGGGCTGGTAGTAGGATAAGGAGACCAGAGACAGAGCAGGAAGGAGAAAATTCCATTTTAGGAGATAGGCTCTGAGCAGGTAGAAAAAAAGACCTTTTCTATGCTGGGGATGAGAGGCTCATCCTAGTGAACAGGGATCCCTGGAAGTAGCCCTAGGCCTCTGATCTGATCTGAAAACAGGCTTGACTCCTGTCTGTCTGCCACAGAACCCACTCTCTCACTGTGGGAGCCTCTGTTCCAGCTTCACAGTAAGGAATGAAATACATTATTGTCAGGATTCAGGTAGTGTTTGCTGTAGTACTGATAACTTAGATGTTATCAGTACCTAGGTGTTTCCTTAGGCCTATATCTTTGGGGGGATATATACCCCCCCCCCCCACAATTTCCATTCTGAAAGATTCTTAAATGGGCTGGGCACAGTGGCTCATGCCTGTAATCCTAGCACTCTGGGAGGCCAAGACAGGTGGATTGCCTGAGCTCACAGGTTCAAGACCAGCCTGAGCAAGAGCAAGACCTCTTCTCTAAAACTAGCCAGGTGTTGTAGTGGGTGCCTATAGTCCCAACTACTTGGGTGTCTGAGGCAAGAGAATTGCTTGAGCCTAAGAGTTTGAGGTCGTTGTGAGCTATGACACCACAGCACTCTACCAAGGGCCACAAAGTGAGACTTTGTCTCGAAATAAAAAAAGAAAGATCTCAATTGAAGAGCAAATTGCTATTTCTTCTGTTTTTTAGTTTTAAAACTTTGGGGGTGGCGCCTGTGGCTCAAAGGAGTAGGACACTGTCCCATATGCCAGAGGTGGCGGTTTCAAACCCAGCCCCGGCCAAAAACTGCAAAAAAAAAAAAAAAACACTTTGATTTACAGAAGTCAGAGACTGTTGTCCTCTCCCAGTCTCCTACCCACAATTTCAAAGGCTAGCCTAAAATAAGGGCAGAGAAGCTTAGAGGCTTCCATTTCTGTGACCCCAGGCTCCTGCAGCTCTCCCAAGTCCTGAATTCTCTCTGCTTTAACCTTTATACTAGGGTGAACAGACGTCCTGCTTTTGGTGGGACAGTCCTGCTTTTTAAGAATTTGTCCTGTGTCCCACGGCATTTTTAAAAAGTCCCGATTTTTGGAAAGAATGCACGAACGGGGCTCGGCGCCTATAGCTCAACTGGCTAAGGCGCCAGCCACGTACACCTAAGGTGGCACGTTCGAATCCCCAGCCCGGA